TACTTATATATATATATATATATTTATGTGTATATATATATATATATATATATATTCACGTTATATTATTTATATACATTTCTAGCTGTTTAGTTATTTTGTTCCGCAATGTATCGACCATAGCAGATCATTACATTGTGTTAATTTTTATTGTAATATTAATTATCTATTTTTTGTTTATATCTTTCTTAAAAAAATTTAAAAGATGGTTATTATATTGCATCATTTCCAAAACAAATAATTATATGATAATTTTTTAAAATTAATACTACCTTTGTTCTTATATATTAAAATCATTCACTTAATTCATCAAGATTAAAAAAAATAGTTAATGTAGTTGATAAACATACATTTGTCATATATATATATATATATATATATATATATATATATTCTTCTAAAACTATCATTATACTACTTATCTTTATTAATTAATATTTATATATATTTTTAACTAATTAGAGTATATATTTTATATTATTTTTCCATCTTAAGTAATATTTATTTTTTTCTAATCAATTAATAGTGCGGGATTTCTTAAAGAAATTATAATTAATGCATTTTACTAAATTAAGATGACACATTTTAATTAAGATATTTTAATTTAAAAATAATTAATACAATGAATAATATGAATCGTGTCTTATATGAAGGAACAAATAATTGTTTAAAGTTAAATATTATAAATAAAAACAGAAATAGTATTATCTTTCGCCTATTTTGTTAATTTTTCTTAATTTACATGTAAAACAATCTAAAATAATATTGGATAACAAAAATCCAAAAATAAGATCAAACTACATTCCTATACTTATTGAGTTATTACAAAGCAAATAATAATAATAATAATAATAATAATATACATTGTAAGAATAATGAAAATCATATTATGAAAAAAATATTATATTTTTTATTAGCGTATAACAACTTTAAATAGTTATTAAAAAACATAATTAGTACAAGAAAAAAATTAAAGTCTTATTTTGGTGCTAATTTTAAAGACTTTAATTTATGAGTTTATTAACTATTTTTTTAATTTATTTTTCATGAAAGTGAATGTATTTATTAAATAATCAGTACTATAAGTCATACTCATTGGTTTAAAAGATTAATTCTTAACTTTTAAGTAATGTCATTAAATATAACTATCGTCTATACTATTTAATTTTATGAGTATTTTCTTAATAAAATTTTGAAATATGACATTATTAATTACAATTAACTAAATTAAATACTTTCAGTGGTCTTAATAAATTAAATACTTGTTTCTTATATATAAAAATAAATGTGGTATTACATCGAAAAGTGAAAATATAAATCATTTTTTCAAATGCTAAAAGCACATTTAATTTGAATTATATGAAATAATAAATATATAAAAATAATAAAATTACAAGTAAGCCTTGTTATTAATATTTTATTTAAAACACAATAATTTTCTAAAAGATGTTATAAGGGAATAAAAAAAATAAAAACATGTGTGATTTTACAACATTTTTCAAATACGAAAATTACTTTCAATTTGGGTTAGATGGAGTAATAAATATTAAAAATAATAATAATAATTTTACAAAACAAGTCATATTATTATTATTAATGTTGTATTTGAATCATGAAAACAATGTAACATTTTTGTAAAAGATGTTATAATGACATAAAAAAAATAATTAATATTATATTAATAAATTAAAATGATACTATAGTTGTTCATATATATATATATGAAACAAATATCTAATTTATCAAGACTAATGAAAGTAGTTAAATTAGTTAGTTATAATTAATAATGTCATAACTTAAAATTTTATTTCAAAAATATCCATAAGAAAAAATAGTGTAAATGGTAGTTATATTTAATGACACTACTTAAAAGTCAATGAACATTTTTTTAACCAATGAGTATGGCTTTTAGTGTTAGTTGTTCAATAAATGTAATTACTTTCATGAGTTGCTCATTAAAAAATTTATAATAAAATAAGAGTATTAAACAAAATTATCAATTAATACATTTAAAGTAGATATATGTTTCAAATCAAAATAAATATCTTATCTATTTATTATATATAAGGAATAGAGATAGGATTAATTTTTTTTCTAATTTATTCCTTTAAATTATTCAACCACTACAATTAAAAGTAATGCATTTTATGAGAGATATAATTATTTTAATAAAATTATATTAAAAAATAATATATTTATAATTGCTCTTAATCTGTGTGTATATATATAAAACAACAATTATTACGAGACAAAGGCTATTTTTTTTGTATATGTGTATAAAAAAATTAAAACATATATTATAAGACAAAGGAGACATAGTTTATTAAATAAATGAAAATATAATTACTACACCTTTTGTTTCACTATAACTATATTTAAAGATTTTAATGCATAAATTAAAACAATAATAAATGTACTATTTTTTATTTTGTATAATTTTACTAAAATATTATTGTCTCTTAATAAATACATTTTTTTAATTGTGGTGGTTGAAAAAATTATGAAGGAGCAAGTTAAGAAACAAATAATTAATATTACATTAAAAAAGAGACAACATTATTCACTTCAAGACATTTTACAAACACAAATTATAATCATTGTGAAATGGAAGGAGTAAAAGACAGTTGTATGAAGTATCTTTATTTTTGGTTTTCTTTTTTTGGAATTATTTTAAAAGTGTGTGAAGACTTCTTCTTCTTCTTCTTTTTTATTTTTATTTTTATTTTTATACTTTATCATATAAAAGATAAGCATTATATA